AAAATATAGGGGATCCATAAAAATATCCACCCCTTAATCTCAATTATCTATCCACTTGTGCTAAGTGCTCTAACACTTCTTTAACTAGGTAGGGATCACACTTAAGTTGATTAGGCAACTCTCCCATTCTTTCTATAACATCCTTCTTCAAATGGCTTTGCTTATACTTGTTTGGACCTTTGTTCTTCATAATGTCGATCATAGTAGCTTGTAATGTTAGGAAGATTCTATTCAATTCCTTGGATGTGTAAACTTCAAATGACTTCCCCACAGCATTGACAAGGTTATTTATAATTTTAGGTACTTCTTGGTATTGTAGTTCTTGAATTGCTCTAAAATAACCAAGATTCAAAATGCTTAAATCAAGGGAATTTGAGGGTTGAGAAATCAAGCGAATGTTAAATCCACCATCACTTGTGCCATACGAAAATCCACATCATTGTCATTAATGTGACAAAGAGCATTATCTTGTTGAACAAAAATAGTTTTACTTACATGACTTGGCGGCCATTTGGCTTTGATTGTTGGTAATACTTTGTCAATTATAAAAGATTTCATCACTTCTTTTGCAATAGAAGTGATTGGTTTTGTTTCCATTATGCTCTGTTCCTATTCACACTGCTTCTCCTTATCACCTCTTTTATAACAAATGAAAACAACCCAATCTTTCTAGAGAAAATTTCATTTCCTTGTGCATCAAATCTAGGTCTAGTCACAGCAACTAAGAACATTATCTTAGCAATATAATTATTGTTTTTACATGTTCGATATGGTGGCTCCTCCCCTATTGCCAAGTAGTAAGTTTGGGATTTCTCTGACATGTAAAATCATTTTTTATCAATATGAATTATGTTGTGCATAGATTGAAAATTTGGGCCATCTGATATACTTTCTTGTTCTAGCATAAACAAGCACTACCTCAATTGAGCAAGCATGTTTTGCTCATTCAAATGTGGTTTGATTGTACTTGTGTGGTGCCATATAACTCTTTTTTTTTAAGTCTGGTCAATGATGTCTTGTTAACCCCAATGCACTTGCAAGAGATCTATAAGTAGTTCGTTGATGTACAGGAATTTTTATAAGTTGTTGCATGTTCACATCAGGTTCCTTTCTTCTATATCTGTTTGTTTTTTTATATTTGCATGCCCTGTTTCCTTAACTTGACGTCCAAATGCATTGAATGACTCTCATTGAAACTGAATATGCTAAAGCTATCTCTCTTATTGTAATATCGTTCAATTTACCTTGATAGCTTGAGTTTAACAAAATCTTATAAATGGATACTCACTTTTCATTTCATAAGAACCTTCTTCTTTTACACGATAGTTGCCTTAGTGATTCAAGTGTATTACCCCCTATATTTGTCTCTATTTTAAAAGTTTATAGATGTTAGATTTTTTGGCAAACCATATAATCTAGTGAACTTTTTTCTACAGAAAAAATGCTCAATGAAGGCTAGACTATATTTCAAATTAAGCAAGCTTATAGGAGATGAAAAAGATGCAAACTACAACAAGGTATTCTACTTGTTAAGTTATTAAATTTAATTACACATTCAGATTGAGAGTTGTTATTGGCATAGTGCTATGGATGTATATTGGGGTCTTACTTGATTTAAATAAATTGTGAAAACTTATTGGGATTCTTAAATACCGTGTTAAGGAATAAGGGATTTGTAATTGGAGCACAAGGCAAGGATTTTTATCAATGCTTTCAGCTGTGTGGTTTTCTCAATAATAGACTTTTGTTCTATGTATCTAATCTATATGGGATTGTGGTCAAGGCTCATGGCTCTTTTGGAAAACTTCCAATTGCTCTGTTTTAAAGGGTTAAGTTGATTTTATGCATGGATGTATTATTTTCTCTTTGCTTGGTTCTATTTGGTTACTTTTGCATGTTTAGAATAATTTATTTTCTACCATTACTATTTACTTTCTAATAGTATTTTCTCCTCATATTTTACCCAAAAACATATTTTTATAACTTTAAGTACCATGCATATTTGACATCCAACCAAAGTGACTGTTCTAACCTAAGTTAAGATTCACCATATTTTTTGCAAAACTTTTTGAATTACAATTGAGATGCTTGGCAGGATGTGGGATGGGGCAATGTCTTCATTGAAATTTGGAAAATCAATGTTTTTAGTGGAAAGCACAAGCCTACATAGAACTAGTTTAGGCGTTGAATTCTTGAGATTTTGAGTGTGGTCATACAATTAAATGTTACCAATGATTATAACAAGTGAGCAATTGATTATCCATTCTTAACAAGAGATGGTAGGGTTAATGCAACCAATCTATCTCAATGATCTAAAGATGGTAGGGTTAATACAACTAACCTGTCTCAATAAAATTTGCATTCCAAGGTCAATTTTTTCCACCAATGATCTTTCACTACAAAGAAAGAAATCATTTTGAAACTTCCATCTCTAGTTTCATATTTATTTCTTCTAATGAAATCCATTGTACAAAAGAAATAAGTTAGAGTGAAATTCAATAATCCATTTAGTTATATATCTATGACTCTGTACAATAACAACTTGTAACAATTGACTATAAGGGACAAGAAGAATACATACATGTTCACTTTCCTATTTTTAACTATATTATGAGTTAGCAAGATGAGTATTCACTTATGTGGTTTTATATAATTTATTTTAGACAATCAAACATATCCATAATGATTAAAGAGGCTAAACTTTTTTGATAAAAAATTAATCACATTAAAAAAATATATTTTCCACATCTGCATCAATATATCTTTACTACTATAATTCAAATGTTTGAGTACATCTTTCAAAAAAAAAAAATTTTGTTACACCTCATTTCAGTGTGATAATGAGTTTTGTATGTCAAACAGCTTACCTATTTGCATGTGGCTAAAAGACTCCTAATAGACTCAAATCCAGCTCTATATGAATTGTGAACATCTCATATAGGTTAGTTTAAAGTTGGAGGTCAAAGTGCTAATTTTAGGAGTAGAATGGTTTCTGACTTTATGTTGCTTGAGTTGAAGATTTTCTTTGTTGGTGATTTTAAAGGTATTAAGTTTCATATTTTTATTATTCATTTTTTTTTATAAGTTTTTGGAGATACTTATAAGTTTCATAAAAAGAGATATTCTTACCATTTCTTTCTTCATTGACTATAATATGTTGAGCTTCATTTTTATTGTTGTCTAGCTTGACATTCTCACACATAGGGAGAGCATTTAAGTCCAAGTAAATGATGCTGCTATTTCTACTATCTTTTTCATTGGCTGGGGCATTTAAATTAAAAGAGAGAGAAATCACTTTTCCATAGTGGAGACTGAACATTTTGTGCTTTTCTTTTTTTCTTTTTAATTTTATGGTTTGACTCCCTCTTAAAGGGAGCTAACTTATGCAAAATTCACCTGCTAGTGTTTTTAACTCTCACCAAAAAATTTAGCAATTTTTTTGGTTAAAATATATGTAAAGTAAGGGAGAGAGAAATATTAAAAAGTGATATTATATTGATTGTACTTTTTGTCCTTTTTATTGAGAGTTACTTTTAAAATTTTAATTATAATTATTTTTTGTATTTATATTGTATTAATATTGATAAAATTGATAGAAATAATTTATAAAGGAGTAATTTTTATAGGCCACCCATAATAAAGTCTTACAACATTGAGTAGCCTGTATCTTCCAAATCTTCTCTCAACATCCATCTCTCTGTGACTCATTCTGATTAATCTTCTCGTAGGCAGATTTAACGCTGAAAACTCCATCACATTTAAATTAAAACCCCATTTTGGACATTTTCCCAGGTTGTTTTAATCCCACTCCAGAAATTAGAGCCTGCACGGTCATAATTAATTTTAGGAATGACGTCATCCCCACAATGATATTTAGATCGAACAACCTTTGCCCAAGATTCATCTCGTCGTTTCACAAGACCCCACCCAACTTTCATTAGCAGAGCATGATTTTGATTTTGTGCATGTCTAAGCCCCAGACCTCCTCTCCTTTGCTTTACAGATTTCATCCCAAGTCACCAAATGTATTTTCTTCCGTTCACTAGCACTAGCCCAAATAAAATTACGATTCTGGGAGCATTGTATATGTTCACGGGAAGTAGAGAAGTCTGCATGATGCGTTCAAGTATGGCAGAGGTAACTGAGAACCAGCCAAGGACAAGCTACTCGGGTTCCATTTATTCAATCTAGACTTCACCTTGTTAAGCGTATTTAGAAATGTTTCCTTGGTCACTTATTTACTCTATTTGTAGATTTGGATTCAATCACTGTATTTAATACATGTATTGAATGTTTGTATCATCTGAACCATTAAAATTCAGATCAATAGTCATGAATTGATACTTCACTTAATATTAATAAATGAGTAAATTTATTTTAATTGTTGATCTGAATTTTAATGATTCAGATGATACAAACATTCAATACCTGTATTAAGTACAGTTATTGAATTCAAATCCTTCTCTCTGTCTTCATGTATAACTTCTAGAACCATTTTTTGTTCATAAATATAAAAGATTGTTAGCATTTTTTATACCCTTATTAAATTGAAAAAAAATAAATACTCTCGTTAATTTACTTTAAAAAAAGAGATTCATTTTTTATTTATAATAATTAGGGACAAAATTAGAATATTGTTATGCTTTCAATTAAATAACTAACTTTTATTGATTTATTGTGTGATTCGCTTAAAAATATCTTACTCCCTCTATTAAAAAATGTAAAGCATTTTTAATCAAATCTTACCCCAATAAAGTAGTTACTTACTTTTAAATTAACCTTATTTTTTCATATTTACTCTTATTAAATATTTTATAATAAATATAAAGTTATTATTAATAGCAGCAGTCTTGAAAAAAAAAATTATATCTTAAAATATTTAAAATATCTTATATTTTTAAACATTTATTTTTTATAAAATGTTTTATATTTTCGGACAAAGAGGTCCATACAGGGACGGAAGGAGCATGTAGTACAGGCACGCCTAGGAGGTACTTACCCAAGTCTGCGGTTTGAACGAATGCCAAGGAAGTGTTAAGCTCGCTGCGCCTGTTATGATTAATATTACTAGAGGAAAATACCCTTGTCTTAGAAGAGTTGATCTTCATACCTGATGCCTCGCAGAAGATCTTCGGGCCATTATTTATGATCCCTACTTGCTCCGATGAAGCTTCTTCAAAGAGTATAATATCATCTGTAAAGAATAAATGAGAGATAGGCGGTCCAGTCTTATGCAACCTGATAGGCTTCCAATTTATCGTGTCTTTCTTTCTTCTACTTCTCCTTTTGTTTTCTCTAAATATGGCTTTCAAGTTTTCATTCTCAGATAAATAACTATCCCTCTCTCCAAAATGAAGACTCAAATTTTCATCCATGAAGCCATCAATTGCTTATCTAGGTAGGTCCGCCAGTGCCCGCACAATAGAATTGGAGAAAGTTCGAGGCTGCTAAGTGTGTGATTTTTCTTTTGTTGTTTTTCAATGGACGGTGCAGATTCATTGTTAATTGACGGCTGTGATGTTTTTTAAATAATCACGCGGTGCGCATCTTCGTGCTGCTTACATCCTGAGGTGCAAGCTGCAAAAAAGCCCTTCGCTGTTTTCAATCGTCTTTGTCAGGCGAGAAGAAACCAAAGCATCTCTTTATTCTTCTTTTCACTGTTTTCCTTTTGTGCTTCCACACTCTTCCTTTCATCAATTCATGGTCGATACTGTGGAGGTCGAAGATAACTTGTAAACTCTTATTAATCTCCGTGATATGCCTTTTCAGGTAATGCAGTCTATTCCAAGACGAATCCCTCACTGTTTTATGCAATTCACTGAAGTGTTGCTTTTGAGTTTGCAATTTGGTTGGTTCTTGTTGGAGCAAATTGGTAAAGTTCTTTTGTTATTTATATATATATATATATATATTAATTTTCACTTGTAGGACGGGTTTAATGGAAGGGTGCAGTTTAGGGACTTGCGAATTAGAATTATTAGAAATACCCATGATTTAATTTCCCTTCTGGCCTTTGTCTTTTGCTCTTTTCTTATTTTCGTTGATGTTTTTGTTTGATTAAACTAGCTAATTAATATGTTTGTTTGCAATTTGCAGTTAGATTATTGTTCAGTTCTGGAAAAGTTTATTCGGGGTTCCCAAACTCTACGTTTTATGGGTTTGGGGCGGTTTCATAGGCTTCTACTTTTTCTTTCTTTCTTTCTTCTTCGCCTGTTAATTATACTACGTTTCAGATGTTGTTGGAGTTACCAGTCATAATTTTTTTATCATTTGATGAAGATTTGGAATTTTGACAGTAATTCATCCGTAATGGATAAATTAAGGAAACTGAAAAGGTTTCTAGGTTTATGGTTTTGTACTTTTTTTGACAGAGTGAATTTCTTCATTTATTTTCATTTTTTATTCATCTAACTAATATGGTACCTCAACTATTGCTTTAAATTTGAATGTCCTAATTGCTCCCAGATAATCTTCTGAACATAATATAGTAGTATTTAGATGTACAGATGATTTGCATGCAAGGATTGGGGGGGTGGGTTTAGTAGTTTGTGAGGTTGCTAGTTAGGTTAGTAGCTGTTAAAGCTTCTATACTGCCCATTGGGGCTCTATAAATGGGCTTTAATACTTATGTAAGCATTATGAAGTGAATGATAGGGTGAATTCTTTAAAAGTCTGTACCATAAAAATTCTGATTTGTCACGTTTCCATACAAATTTTTTCTTCTGTATTTTATTGAATTTTTTCCATGTTATTTATATAATACTTGAGAGCTGTGATTGAAAGGTCATAAAAGGCAAGAGATGCGTAGATTTGAAGTTATGGAGCTAATAACTGGATGATAACCTCATATAAGAGGCTTCTTTGCTATACTTAGTTTTCAGTATTGACCTGACAGAACAGGCAGGTCAATGAAGATAACCTTTTAGAGTGATGTAGTGATCTTCTCTTTAAAATGGTAACAGTTGTAGAAACTGCAGTGTTCAATGTGTTGGCCCATAAGATGATTATACCTGAGATGCTGAAATTTGAGACTTGATGATTTTCATTACATGTTTCCATATTTCTTGGAATATTGGGAAATAGTGAGCTCTTTAATTCATTCAATGGGATATAGTATATAGGATTCAGACAAATTTGATCATTGAAATAATTTTTTTTTTTTTAGTTTTACATGATTTTATGTTTTTTTTTTAAATGTTTGATTAGAGTAATTGCTGGTCCAGTTAGTTTTGAAGGACTTACAATGATACCATCATGATCATAATTTCATGAGCATCATTAATTGAAGTCATTGACTTTCAAAATTGATTATCATTTTTCCTACCTTCAATATCTAGGCTAGTCTACTGCTCGTTCTGTATAAACTTAAAGGCTGAGAGAAAAGATGGTTAGAAAATAATACTATTGAGGAATTACTGGTGCAATATGGACATTTATTCGATAGAAGTAGTAAAATTCTTATCTATGATGCATTTTTTGTTCTTTTGTTCTTTTTTGTTTTTTTCTTTGGTTTTGGCAGCATCTCTGACGAGTTGCTACTGTGGGATCTTGAATCCAATGGTTCAGGTTCAAGTCATCAATTTCTTGTATTTCATGCCATGGCTATAATGGAGTCATTAAACAACAGGTCGCAAGTATCATTGAAATTGTCTCTGAATTCAATCAAACAAACAATATAAAGGAACTTTAAGAAATAATTTCACTGAATAAATCTGTTTCGCAAATGGTTGTGCCCTGGGTCTGTTACTGGTCAAAGCTTTTGTTTGACATGTTTTATTCATTTCTATAGAATCATTACTGATAATCTGTTTATAGTTTTCAAACTAATTGTCATTTTTTATTGCATTTTAGTGGTTTGAATATATAGGGCAGATTATTTTTTATTAGAGGTTACATGTATCGTGTATTTGTTTGGACACTCAAAAGGACTTTTGGTGATGGATTTTTTAAAGGGATGGGGCTGGAGAAACCAGGCTGATAAAATTTTTTTTTGAAGATGGTTAATAATAGCAACAACTGCTGGATTTCAGAACCACAGCATTGCCCATTATTGGATGTAAAATAAGAGAATCCATTTGCTTTGTTTGGCTTCTCCTTCAGTTCAGCTTTTCCCTCTCGGTTTTTTTTTTTTAATCTATTCTATCAATGTATATTGCTATTGGTAGACATTATGTTTTCCTTTATGTTTTTCTGTGTATTTTCTTTCTTATATTTCTGTGTTAGTAGTGTTGTCGCCCTCCTTTTTCTACTTCTTTTTTCCCTTTTTAATCAAAAGAATGGAACAGAAAGCTTGTCAAAATAAATTCTTCATGAAAATTTTTATGAAAAAAATCTATTAAATGATTCCATTTCCCATGAAAGACTGACATCGCCTTAGTTTATATCCATGTAAAGACAACATCAAAACCTGTCTCATGATTTATCTTTTCAGGTGGGATGTAGGATGCAGAGCATTCTAATGTGTCAAGACACTCACGATTCATAACTTTCCTAGGTCAGATTGTATTCTGCAAACAGTATGTCCATGCATGCACATTTTGCCTGCTTTGATTGGATAAAAATAGTTTATGAAAAATAATTGGAACCAGCCTTAATTGCTATTTCTCTTATTACACGTCCCTTTTTCTGATTTTACCTGTTTATTAATGTCACTAAAGTGTGCTCTACAGATTATAGACCTTTGATCTTGTCAGTGGGTTTTTATTCATTTCTTCAATGTAGGACATTGGACTATCCTCCAAATTCAATTAGATTCTGTAAATCAAGAATCCAACCATGCAAACAGCATCATATAGCCATCCTTTATTCTATATCACTTGCAGGTGTTCAGTCTCATTCCGTAGTTCTTTGTCATTTCCAATGATGTTTGTTTTGTTCAATTTATAGTAATTGGCTTACATATGAAACATATTGCAGAAACTTCTCAAATGTGAAGACTAGTTCATTAAGCTTTCATGCATCAAATCACTCTCAACTTTTTCCCGAATTTGCATTCAATAGGAGAACACAGAATCATACATTTCCCACTCCCTTGAAACAGACCAGGCTGTTGGTTCTTCCAAACACAAGCGATGGCTACCCATCTGCTTCTGCAACAGATGATGAAATAAACTCAAACCATGCTCCTAATGGAAGATCAGACACAATTCTCAGCAATTGGTCTCCTCCAAGGTACTTGTGGAGGGGATTATCAGTTCCTATCATTGCAGGACAGGTAATCATGAAGATTTTGAAGGGAAAGATTCATTGGGTGAATACTCTTCAACAATTGGAGAGAGTTGGTCCGAAATCAGTTGGGGTCTGTCTCTTAACTTCTGCATTTGTTGGCATGGCATTTGCAGTGCAATTTGTCAGAGAATTCACTAGGTTAGGATTAAACAGATCAGTTGGTGGTGTTTTAGCTCTGGCTTTCTCAAGGGAGCTAAGTCCAGTAATTACATCAATCGTGGTTGCTGGTCGAATCGGAAGTGCTTTTGCAGCAGAATTAGGCACTATGCAGGTTTCTGAACAAACTGACACATTGAGAGTTCTTGGTTCTGACCCTGTTGATTACCTGATAACTCCAAGAGTGGTTGCCACATGTATTGCCCTACCTCTTTTGACTCTACTATGTTTTACACTAGGATTGGCCTCTAGTTGCGTCCTTGCTGAAGGTGTTTATGGTGTGAGCATTAACATTATCATGGATTCTGCTCGGAAAGCTCTCAGATCATGGGATATCATTAGTGCAATGATCAAGTCGCAAGTTTTTGGTGCCATCATATCGATAGTGAGTTGTGCATGGGGAGTCACCACTCTAGGTGGTGCTAAAGGTGTTGGAGAATCAACAACATCAGCTGTGGTTCTCTCTCTTGTGGGCATATTTATTGCTGATTTTGCTCTTTCTTGTTTCTTCTTCCAAGGAGTAGGAGATCAGCTAAAGAATTGCATATAAGTTGCTATTGGTATGCCTGCAACTTTGCACTTATTATCATTATTATTATTATTATTTTTTTGTCTGATGCAACTTTGCTTATTTATACAAAGTGAATCTTCTGTTCAATTCGCCTGCTATATCATGCATTGATTCTTGTCTTTTATCAAAACCTTCCTTAGAAAGATATATTGTGGTTTCATGAATCATGTTCTATTCTGGAAGCAATTAAGATAATTTCTATTTCCCCACGGCACTATTTATTTATGAGTTGAGCTCCATGTTATGTTTTGGGTTTCTAATTGTTGATTACATTAGCTTGAATATTCACTGAAGAAAATCTTGGAAATGGGGATGTGCTCTGTGAGTATAATTTTTTCCTTAGTAAAAGTATTTATGTACATTAAAATCCAAAACCTTGAAGTCTCCTGGAAGTCGAAATTGTATATGTAGCTTTAAGACGCCAAGAAATTATAGAAGAGGTGCTACTCGGCATATCTGTGTTCTATTTGCGTGATACTTGTAAGATATAAGAACTATGATTCCATGCTTTCTTTTGAGGGAAAGCACTGGATGATCCTGTTAAACTCAACTTTTGTTGTTCTTCCATTTATTTTTATATGTATATAATCGAAGGTAAAAAGCTAATTAATAAATGAATTTTATACATAAAAAATAAAACGTTTTTATTAGGATAACATCAATCCTGCATTTATAAAAAATTTTTGAGATTAGTTAATGATAGATTATAATGATATTATGTAATCTCTGCAGCGGATCTTGCTTAGTAAGGTAAACTTGGTTGTTATTGAGATTTACAAGAAAGAAAGAAAAACTTTGCTTTTTCTTATGGGAGAGAACAAAATCAATAACCACGATGTACGGAGAAGATCAGAGTAGTGTCACAGATTCGATCTCGGGACTTGACTGGTGAGAGTAACACTCTCCGGCCCGCAAATTCCAAGGTCAATGACAATGTGCGGACTGCTCCTGATGTTGTGGATATGCTTAAAGCTCAACATTTAGGGTGGCCCCAAAAAATTGAGAGCGGGCCCCTTTGGTTACTCGTATAAAATATGCTTACGTGATATGAGGTCCGTTTGTTTTAGCCTATTTTATAAAAAAAATAACTTATTTTTCAGACAAAAATTTATTTTGTAAATTTTTATTATGTTTGTTTAAAATTTTAAAAACAACTGAGATAAAAAAAAGCATATTTTTTGGGTTATTTTTAAAAGTTACGTAAAGTAACTTATGAAAATAATCTATAAAAAATGATAATAAAATATTTTTAAATTATATAAATAACAATCTAATTATTTGAAATGCTATAATTTCATTGAATTTTTTAAAAAATTTTGTGTTAACAAATTTTAAAATAAAAAGATCATTTTACCTTTATTAATAAATTGTGACCTTTTATTCAATTTTTACCTTTTTTGAATAAAAATTGTTATTCCTTAAACAAAAATTGTAATTGAGATTTGTTATTTTGAGAACTTGATTTTCAACAATAGAAATTACACTTTATAAGTTGTAATTTTTTATTCAAATCTTGTGATTCATAAAATAAAAATTATTATTCCTGAAGTAAAAATTATGATTGAGATTTGTTATTTTTAGTAAAAGTAAAATGATATTTTCATTTTAAAATTTATCAATAAAGAAGTCTTTAAAAATTTTATAAAAATTATAACATTTTGAAGAATTATATTGTTATTTATATAACTGGCAATTACTTCCCATGCGTTGCACAGGAGCATTTCCTTATATCTAATACTTTTAAGATATTATTTTAAATTACTTAGAGTTAAAATAATTTTTTGGACTTATTTCTTGTAATTTAAGCATTTCCTTACATGTAATTCTTTTAAACAATAATATGAGAACATTGCATTTGATTGACTTTTGCGTTTGATACAAGTGAAATATGAAAATAATAGTACTATCAATAAATTAGATGAGCATTCAGAATATACAAAATAAAATCATTATGAATTATTTGAATAACTCATGTGGGCTAACAATAGTTTATTGCGTTAAATGCTAACTATCAATGAAACGCCTTTAGAATTACACATTCATGATTGCCATTTGGGCTTGATAATAAAAGGGGAAGCTAAGATTTAAAAATAAAAAAATCAAGATTAAAAAACATATATTCATAAATTTTTAGGAGGTCAAAAGTATAATATTTATATAATATAAAAAAATTTAAAAAAATTAGAGGGGCTGCGGGCCTTGCTAGTCTCCCTCCCTCTACCACTGTTGATAATGTTAATTAATCATTCATTTACTTCCTTGCATGTGGCATGGGAGCCTTTACATTATGATTTTAACAATAAAACATTATATTACTTTCATATTTGAAAATATTTAAGTGCAACTTAAGTTTCATGAATCTATACATGAAGATGGTTGTTTAGCATCTTTTACTCAGGAAAAATATATTTAAATAGTCATTAAACATCATGATTTATATCATGATCAATTAAAAATACATAATGAATAACAATAACTATAACCATAAAAGAGGTAATATTCTCAAAATGAATTAACATATGCTATTATTGCATATGAATTATCTCTATACTTGATACAAATGATATGAGAAAATAATTTTGCTGTCATAAATTAGATGAATATTTGAGATGTAATAATATTATACTTTTGTACCACTAAATTTTGAAATCATGTTTGCTCATCATCCTCCCATGGAAAAAAACAGAGAGGGATTTGCTACATGTACATCTTCCAGGACATTATTTTTGGTAAGCTAATAAGAATAGAACTACCCTAAATAAATTATACGGTTCACATTACATAAAAAAATTTCATTTGTCTTCCTTCAAAAAGTTCAATGTAAAAAAAAAAGTAAAATTTACCCGCTCATTTTCACTTGTCCTTGTCACCTAACGTGGACTTGAATAGTGTAAGGTACTTGATATTTCAACTCAATGTATGATACTATTTTTTTGCTCACCTGCCGTTTATTATTCTATTTCTTTTATTTATATGATATAATTTTATTCCTTCACTCATTCAACTCAGTAATCATCAAAAATTTTTCTTTTTATCTTTATTTTTTTTATTTTTTAAATTCAACTTAAAAATCATCAAAAGTTTCTCTTTTTTTATCTTTATTTCTTTTATTTTTTAACCTTTTTTTTTTTTTTGCTTCATCATAAACTTACCTCATTATTTTGGCACCTCAGTATGCATGATTATTGCCGGCCATTACTAAAATGAAAAATTCAAATAATTTATAACCTTCTATTTTTACTTTAACTTCAATGTTTCAATTGCTACATTATGAAATTTTTTTATATTTTTTTTCAAGATTAAAATGAATAATTCGTCTGATGTTAAGTCATATGGTTTTTTTTTTGTTTTGGCCATAATAAAAACAATATATGATAATTAAATTAATTATTAATTCTTAGCCTCATCATGATTCATGAATCATGTTATTCAATGAATTAATTTCCTCTCACTTCCTTTACTTTTCCTTTCAAAATGGGACATTTAAAACAGAGTTGCCTATATCATTTTATTATCAACTCAAATAAGTTGACGCCCTTTTGACTCTTTCATGGCATTGTGTACGATCCCAAGTAGTTTGACACCTTGCTTACTTTATCCAAAACTCACGGTGCATGGAGATAGAAGTAGCGACTCACACAAGTTAACATGTAAAAAGTAAGGATAGAGTCTGGGCATGGATGTCTCCATTTTCTAATTCTTTTTTTCTCCTCCATTCCTTCAAAACGACAGCGTTTGACTCATTAAAAAAAAAATACAGGGAAAAAAAAAAGAAAGCAATTGGGAGGAGGGACCCTCTCCTTGTTAGTACCACCCCTCTTTACCTGCATCGCCGCCACCAAGGTGCTTTTCCGGGCACCTGAGCCCTGGCTCTCGTTGTTCATTGTTATTACTGCCAACGGAGCTGACAAGGTTGGGAAGAAAAAAAAAGGTGAAGAGAGGAGCATACTAGTCTTCTGAGGTGGGAAAGATTTAGGAACTGTTTAAAATTATTTTTATTTTATTATTTTAAAAATTGATGTTTTGTAGAACATATTTAAAAAATAATAATAAAAATAGATATTTTTTTATTTTCTTTTATTTTTCAGAATAATAATCACAAAATACTTAAAAATTATTTTTATTTTTCTGTTCTCCAAAATAATATTTTATTTTTTTATTCTCCAAGATATTTTTTAAAAACACGTTATCAAATAAAATTTTTTATTCTTTTATTTTAAAAAATAGAAAACCATTTTTAAAACAGATTTTCAAACATATCCTCAATTTTTTAGTTTTTTTTTTTTGCTGAGGCAAACATCCTTCTTAGATTAATTAAATGAGTCCATGCATGGTGATGGAAGAAGAACCCAAGAACAGCGGCGGTGCCAGCTGCTGAGAAGGGGAATGATCGAATGAAGGCGGACGAGGAGAGGGTCCCTCTTCCCAGTTGTTTTCTTTTTGTTTTTTTGTTTTTTAAATAAACCAAACGCAGTCGTTTTAAAGAAGTGGAGGAGAAAAGCACATTTGGAAAGTGGAGACACCCCATGCCCGATTTTATCTCACATGCATAACTCAAAAACTTATATTATTTTATAACCATTATCTTCTTCTACATGCTGCCCAATGTTAGAAAATGAACTAAAAGCAATCGCACAAAGAGCTGGTACTGTTCACAGAGCCATTTGAAACTAAATGGCTCAATGAACAGTAACTTTGTGAGAGTAGCTGGCCCCACTTCAATGGCTTGGTGAAATTACTTTATGGGATATATTGATTTGAAAAGATTTTACTGTCAGTTTTTTAATAATCTAATATAATAAATGAAAAAATGTATTTTAACAAGATGAAATACAAAAAAATATAATAAAATTTTAAAAATAATATAATAATATATCATTTTCATAAAACAAAAATAAAAAAAATATTGTAAAATTTAAAAATAACTAATTAATAATTACCTTTTTATTTCTGTAACCAAGCATAAAATAATGCTTATTTCCTTTTATAAAATCTCTACAAAATAAATATTATTTTATAAAATCTATAAACTATTTAAAAAAATCACTTATTTTTTAATATTAAATAAATGGGCATGTCTTAAAATATAATTTATTTTCATTTTTATAGTAAACAAAAATAAGATTAAAAGATTGAGAGTAAACACTCTTTACAAAAGGTGGCAAATGAGATCAACGGCCAAGTGGCAAAAGAGATTGGTGGA